GTAAAATCTAGTAATCAATAATAATCAATACCTTCTTTGATGTTTTCTAACAATAAAAAAGTAGATGTCCAACTTTTAAATCAGTAGAGTAGTTACCACAACATGACATTTTACAAAAAATTTTAATAAGATTAAAAATAAATCATGTCGACAAGATCCAATTTTTTTTAGATTTTGGTTAGATAAATCGAAAAACTAAGCGATACAACATACGATGTTTTCAAACACGAAAAAAATGAGCCGTCAAACGTTAAAATCCATGCAGTAGTTACAGAGATATGACTGAATACTTACAAACCCACAGGTAATAAAAACCAACCCCGGAGGGATGACATTTTAGGGGTTGTTAATTGCATTCCATATGTTTATAGGTATTTGTAGTCAAATTACACGACGAAAAAATGTTTTAAAAACCACTTATAAGAACCAACCCTTATTTTAGGGGTTGCTTGGTCGTCTAGTTGTCATTTTTACGACGAGCTACCCCAGTTTAAAAAAAAAATGAAGCTTCTACGTCAAGCGGAAGCCGAGACATTGCAAAATTTTCGAGAAGGCACGATTTTGAATCTGTTTTTCCAGCACGTTTCCCCCCCTTCGCCGACTGAACGAGCTAAGAAAATTTACCTCCATTTTGAGTTACTATAAGTTTTTTATTTATTCATGAATCTTAGACCTTTGTGCATATATAGCATTAATTTCAGCCCTTAATGTTTATAAACAATGGAGCTTTGATTTTTTTTTTTAAAAAAAGGGCTATCTCGGCCCAGAAAGAGCGTAGGGCATATTATTTTTTTTTTGTTTTTTTACCAGATTTCCAGTGAATGACTGTCGTGTTCCTGAGACCAGTAGTTCCGGAGTTACTTCTATTTATTTATAAAAAAATACCCCTTTCTTGCATTGAAAAAAATGCAACAAAATTGAAAATAATCAAGATTTTTTTAACATACCATAATTTTCAGACTTTTAACTATCATTTCCCGGCGTTTAAATTGATTTTTATGCACTCACTGACCTAGCTCAATCGTTTAAAAAAATCGTGTTTGGGATAAACAAATGCAATTATTCATAAACTATTGGACCGATCGGGCCCAATTTTTGGCCACATATGAAGGGTTATAAATAATACCCTCATTTTTAGTAGATTAAAATTCGCCTATGACCATTATTGCAAAAGCTATTAACAATTAAAAAGCACTGCAAAAATGCATGTTTTTTTGCAATTATCTCGATAAACAATGCACAAATTTTAATGCATAAAAAAGTAAGTTGTAGGTTTTTTTAATATCTACAACTTTTATTTGAAGACTTTTTCTCTATCTTGCCTCTGAAAAATTATATTTAAGAAAAACCTCATTTTGACTACTTTGACCATTGTTTATTCGGAAGGGGGGGGGGGGCAAAATTGGCTGTACTAATTTATGTATTTTTCATTGACTATCCCCCCTAACAAGATCCAGTCGCCAGATTGCTGCTATTAGATATGTTTTTATACTGAAAAATAAAAATAGAGGTCATACAGGGACTTTATATTACACATGGGAACGCATTTAGGAAAGTTAAAACAGGTACTATTAAAAACTTATAAAGTATGTTTTTACTAGGTTTTTCCTATTTTTTCAGCCACTTTAGCAATTGAATCGGTGCTAGACATCTTAAATTAATCCTTAACAACATACTTTGTGAAGTACGATTCTGTATGAAAGTGCGTAGTTGCGTTGGCGGAGATTGCACTATTCGAGTCGGTTCTTTAACCAATAGCACAGACAAAATAGCTATCGCCACAGACCGCTCCTGGAATAGACCAGCAGTTTTAAATTTCCGAATTGCCGGTAGAGTACACCACCAGCAGAATTTTAGGAAGAATCAAATACAGCGGCCCGCATACCTAAGCGTATCCTAGCAACATATAAACAAGACTTTGGTAATGTTGCCAGGCGTACTTACGGATTTCTTTTGTACACTTTTTTATCAATATCTGTTTTTTGCGTTACTGTATTTACTTCAATGTATGATGTAGGTATTGATAAAAATGTTTTTAAAGAATCAACGAATATCTATGTATATAT